GTTCTCCTGCACGGCGATCTGAAAACCTCAGTGCCTGATGGCTCGGTGCAAACTGACACAGTCCCCAAAATGGCTTAGTTCGACCGCCCCACTCCATCACGTGATCCCATTCCTTACGGGTAGCCTGGGAATTAGTAGTGGGGTATGTCATCAATAGGGTACCCCTCTAACAGATGTCTTTGTCAAACCTCACCACCCACATCACCACTTGAAGAGGAAAATCCCAAGCAGTTTGGTCGGAATGATTCTTAGACTATGAGCATTAAATAACTTTTAGAGAAGCTGAATTTCTCTTTATTCTCACAAAAAAAATCGAATGTAGTGCTAAATGCCCTTGCAGAACAAGTAGAAGGGTTATTTTGAATAAGTCCAAATTAGGCTGCATTTAAAAATGGCATGATGCAAGTTAGGCAAGAGCAAGAGGAATCAATAGCCTAATCGCTCTAAATGCTTTCTCTATTTTTCAATTCACGCTGATTTGTATATTTTGCTCCCACGAAAGATTTACATTTTAATGGCCATGTTCCCGGAGCATTATCTTCTGCTGAATATATGCTTAGAAAATATTTGACTTCACAGACCGTTAATAGGCTACGGCCTTTGTAGCCTAGTCTAAATTTAGCCTATATAAACCAGTAAAGCAAAATTTCAAAAAATAGTCTTACATTTTACATTCCTAACTTTTGGGTTTTAGTTAGACCCTAATACTTCGAATGTAAAATCACTGGACTTGATAAGTAACATATAAAGCAATTGCTTTTATTTACACTCCCTTTAGAGGAAAAGGTGGTGATTAGAAATTTTACTCTGAATGTATGGATATCTCAATAATTTGTTTCTAATGCCGTAGAAGAGGAAAATATGTATCCTTTACAGCAATATTTTGCCATAGGCCTATATACAATATGTAACATGTAGGCTACACTTAAGCTATAGAAGTCCCACTGAACTCGTGTCTCAAAAGAAACGAAAGGCGTTCCAAGCAAAGCCATGTTTTAGTAAATTACCGTTATGGCTAATTCATTTACCGGTCCCGACTTGACTGTTGGGTTTATACAGCTTTAGCCTACTTATTTTTTATTTTTTCACTTTTGTGTTTACAAATCCCAGAGACCGTTCACAAACGTTTGCATTTACTTTGATAGCATTCCCTTAGTGCAGGGGTAGGCAAGTAGGACCGAACTTGCCTACCCCTGCCTTAGTGTAACAGGTCAAGTTACATATCATTTTTCAATGATTAAATAATCAGTGAAATTGTGAGCTCGCGTGCATGTGTGGTAGGTCTGTGTTGTTCTCTGTCGCGCTGGACTGTAGGCTATAGTGTCCCCGTTCAGCTGCAAACCACACGCGCACTCGGCCTGCCATGACGTCAGCTGCTCTAATACAGGCACTTCAGCGAAAACAAAGAAGCTCAGCATGCTGCGGAAACCTGAAGCACTTTAGCGTTAACCGTACCGGGTTCTGCAAAACGTTACAGCTTCTTCGGTTTCCACATACGTTTCACACATAATCTATCGCTAGAATAAAAAACAATCAGGCCATTATCTCCGCGCATCAATCGAACTGGTCAAGGTATACGCCAATTGTAATTTCAGCGACTTTGTTATTTTCTCACAAATATACCTACCTATTTCTTTATTCCGACTACAGATGTGACTCAAATGGCCGTATCTCAGTATCTCTTGAGCAACAACTCGTGAGAGAGATAGCCTATAATGCCCTCCTCTTGCGAAAACTGTAACGTTAATGACAACTCCATAGCGTCTATGCATCATGGAAAACTATTCCAATATTAAATACATCTGTGAAGAACAAATGCTTTGCACGGTTCCTTGCGTGATTAAGCAGGAAATGTTGACCCGAGTTTTATTTACGAATCAATAGGCTACATTACCATTTTAAAACGCGGGCTCTTTTATCTGGTCATTAATTGTTCGATCTTTCTTAAAAGCTTATGAAGACGATTAAAAGCGATTATAATAAATCGTAAAATAAAATATATAAACGGCAAATAAAACGAGAAGATCTCTCAAAAATGACCATGCTCGGTGACTTCGTTTCCTCTTTTGTCTATTGGCTTAAACTTTAGCCTAATGACTCTATTGATTATTGATTGTTTACAGATCCCACAAAATTGATTTGTGGACTGAATGGGAGCTGGAGGTCAGGACTTACAGATAAAACCGCTTTGAGTTTGTATTTATGTCTTTGATGGTCTAAATCGAATGATGACGATTTCATGAATGAACATGAATATTGTTCCATTATGATATTAAGCTAAGCACACGAATGAAACAATGGGCAGACAAAAAAGGTCAGCTAGGCTATCAGTATATGTTAATATTACTGGTTTAATAATTCATAGAAATTGTACTTGAAATGTATTGCCGGGTAGGCTATGTCAAAGTCAATGAGCTTGTGTGCATTTTTTCCTCGTATATGAACCACCTTTCCGCGTACCGCTCACTAGTCAATTTTTTCAGTGCTAAGACATTAATGAATTATTTTTATTTATCTGAATGACGTGTGCTATTATGATATTAAGCTAAGCACACGAATGAAACAATGGGCAGACAAAAAAGGTCAGCTAGGCTATCAGTATATGTTAATATTACTGGTTTAATAATTCATAGAAATTGTACTTGAAATGTATTGCCGGGTAGGCTATGTCAAAGTCAATGAGCTTGTGTGCATTTTTTTCCTTGTATATGAACCACCTTTCCGCGTACCGCTCACTAGTCAATTTTTTCAGTGCTAAGACATTAATGAATTATTTTTATTTATCTGAATGACGTGTGCCTTATCCTATCAGCTCAACATGTATTTAAGTACTCTGCTCTTAAATAATACATTTTACCTTGCTTTTCGATAGTGCCATTTTGTTTAGAAAGAAAAAAAATCAAATATAATTGATCAGATTTGTTACACGGGATTGACTAAATGGGGTTGAAAAATGTTCAGGGCAACCTTCCAAGTGTAGAATTAGGAAGTGTAATAGGTTTGTAATTAATGTATTAAAATACATTTAGGCTAACTCACACAAGTAAAAAAAAAGGTATATATAGGCCTATATATATATATATATTTATTCATTTATTTATGTATGTATGTATGTATGTATGTATCAATCTGTAGGCCTAACTGTTAACAGATCGCCAAAATTAACCACAATGGGCTATGGCAGTAATCTAGAGAAAATATATTTTTTTAAATTTCCTATTTATTTAGAAACGATAATTATATGGCTTTTGCGCTTTATTGATTTATTGAGCATTTTAGGAAGACTAGGCGGTGGTTACCATGCTTAGATTAATATAGACTTTTTTGTAGGCTATGCCAACATTGCAGCAATATTCCTAGACATAATTTACTGTATCAAGTGCTTAAACCTCAAGCTGTGATTCTTTTTTAATTGCTGCACAGTTAACAAAATGAAAGCCCATGCTGCAGCACTTTCTTCGTCACAGCTTGCGTCCATAAAGTTTGTCTGTGTCAAATCAAGGACAAGAGTTTAACAAACAAAGAAAATGGCTAAATGAACGATTTTCCATTAAAAGACAATGGGGATGTAAACTTTGTATCAGAATTCCGTTGTTAAGGTCAACCCGTTGACATGGATTTCACCAAACCCAACGACGCCCTCATGAGTTTCTCAAATACAGAAGTGTAAATGGGATTCTTCTTCTTTTTCTTCTAATTTTTCTTTTTTAAAGTTTTCTCAAAGGAATGTCACAGAATTAAACATGCATAATTAAGCATGTTTGCATATGTCCTGAAATGCAACTTCGCTGACAACCAAATCAAAGCTATAAAACAATTAGGTTAACCTCCGTTAATAATAATAATAATTATATATATATAACATTAAAATAAAACTCATATATAAATTATAGAAAAAAAATAAGATATTTTTTTCCCAAGACTTGTATTTATTGTAGGACTAGGTCATATGTAGGCTATGTGACCACCGCAAATGGCTGATACAATTAAATCTACTTAGATATTTAATTATGATTATCTCGTAGGCCTGCATTTTAATAGTATTTTTAATAGATTTGGTTTAGTTCTCCCTCTTTTAAAGATATGAAGTAGGCTGACTGTGAGCTTTCTCTATCTAGCTATACCTTAACTAACATCTCAGATGTTTTGACTGTCTGATCTGAAAATTTTATATTTTCACTCATATATTTTCTTTGTCACAAAAACAAACTTTGTCGAGAAAATCATGCTTAATGTTTAGCCACCACTGGATTGTTCATTCGAATATTATAGGCCTATTGCTGCCAGACGGTTTTAGTCAAATGGACTTTTATCTGAACTTCATGGAACATGCTGTTGTTTCCGAGAAGAATCGGGACTGATGTAGCCCTGGTTATGTGACCATCTCTTTAGACTGCAACAGATTACAGAGACGGCCGATGAATGGTTGAAAATGTTTAAATGGAATGTCAATGTAGCAAAATTGACGAAAGATGAAAAGGAGATTATTAGGCTATTAATAGTAAGAGAACAACAACGCTACATGGGAGGAATCATTTTGAGCTCTCTCCAATCAAATTAGTTTTTCTTTTAGCTTTCATCACTTCTTTTATAATTAGAGATTAAACAAAGAAAAAGACAATAGATGTCATTACAGATGTGGAAAAGGGCTGTAACGAGGCCAAATTATCTTAATTTGAGAAAAATGTTAAGCATCTACCAGTACACGTAATGCTCACTTGATTTATAGTATTATGAAATATAATCGATACCGCTAAAACCGAGGTGCCAGGAGTCCTGGAAGTCTCCTGCTAAGGGTGTACACACGACGCACCAGCATTACTGAAGCTTTCATGCTTATTGGCTCGTGCTGTGGCGGCTGCATGTGAAACGTGTCTGTGTAACGTTACGTAGAGCAGGCTGAGCTCAAGCATGGGCCCGTTTGAGCCAAAGGACGGGAAGTTATGCTAAAGTGGCCTCAAAACCAAGATTGTCCGTATGGGCAGTAGGTAGTAAACCTTCTCAAACACACACACACATATATATATAGGCTATATATAACTTTCAGCAATGGCTTTGCCCGAGATCCTTACGTTAGTGTTGTTTTCCGTGCTGGCCGTTATTCAGCCCCTGCCAACATTAGCATGGGACGCAGACTTGGAGCTTTTCGACCTAGTGGAGGAAATCCCACAAACCTTCTATGAGTTCCTGTCGGTTAATCAGGTAAGACCAATTTGATGTACTTCGCAAATTTTCACGCGCGCCTTTAACTCTGGTTATTCAAACGGTGTCGGTAAATGTGATATGTATTTAACTTTAACATATAGCAGCGCTGACTTCGATTAATCGCAGGGTCGCCTCCAGTGCGTTCGTTTACAGGATTGCATTCGTATAAAAGCAACTCGATCCGTTAGCTGAATATCTTTCTTCAGCCACACTATTATGTCTCCCGACTCCGTGAAGCGGTAAACGGACTCTGCCTCCTGCAGAACCTGGACGGCGGTGGCCATTGACAAAGAAACCTCCCGGCTGTGGGCCTGTACAACACAACATGATGGGTCATTACTTGGCTCATAAACAGATGTCTTATCGTTCTGCTGTATTTTCGCCATTCGGTTGCTAAGTGATATTTGATGCATCGAAGAACCCGTGCTTTTATCAGCATAACCGCTGTTAGTAAAAAAAACTGGCATTTGGTTTTACTTCCTAAAGCGTCGACCGTGATTCAGGCATATGGGCATATACCTTAAAGAAGATTCAGGTATATAACTTGCAAAAATTTGCTGTCAGTGCATTTCAGAAGAAATGCTAATTCTGTGCTAAAAAGATTGTAGCTCTGTTTTGGAACATGCTAACTAGTATCCAGCCGGTCTCAGATGGTTGTTAGCTAGTCCAGGCTGGTAAACCAGCTACTGTGCTCCAGAAGCCAGCTTAACCACACTGGTATGATCTCCTGGTATCTGGTTTGTTACTAAAGCAAAATGGTCTCCCAGTTACAGCTGCCAATATGTTTATTGTAAGCTTTTATTGCTAACTGTTATTTGATTTTGCCTGAAATGCCACAGGCAGTCCGATCACACAGTCTTTGCTACAAAAACATTTGTATTTTTAAACATACTGCAGGGTAGTCTCAGAATATAGGCATTCCTGACATTCTGTCAGTATTGGCAGTAAGTGTTTATGATGTTTATGTTCTTGATTCTGTTTCTAACAGGATGCATCCTCATCTGAGATCAGGAAAGCATATAGAAAGCTCTCTCTTACTTTACACCCCGATAAAAACAAAGATGAAAATGCAGAAAACCAATTTCGACAGGTAGGTGTTTTGTTTAGCTTTAATGAAAGTTGTCTTTGGCTTAATGTAGATCATGTTAATTGTTGCTTCTATACCTTACTCTGCAATTCTGTGTATTACAATTGAAATATCTTCTCTGTCATCTCTTACTAGTTAGTTGGCATCTACGAAGTCCTCAAGGATGAGGAAAGAAGACAAAGGTGGGGTGTTCTCATGATTAGCTTGTGGATTTTTTTTTTTTTTTTTATTAATCCTAGACCAGCTGTTTTCAACCTTTTTGACTTGAAAGCATACCGTTGTCCAACACAATATTTGAAGATATTTCCTCTGATATTTCTGCTGTAATTTTCACATAATTTAAGATTCAAGTTTTTTTAAAAACCTTAAAAAAATTGTTATTGGGATTTGTTGTATTATTATTATTATCATTATTTATAATTTTAAGGTTAGTTTTTCAATACAAGTAATTTGAAGTCATCCTGTGGCATCCTTGAATGTTGCTGAGGCCTCCTGGTTAAGCACCACTATCCTAGTATAGCAGTGAAACGTGCTCCGAGAGGTTCTTAAATAGGGATGAAATAGGAGCTTTAATAATTTATTGACATTATGCCATTGAGTAAGATCCCTAACCACTGTTTGTACCAGTGGGGTCTGCAATTCTGTGTATTACAATTGAAATATCTTCTCTGTCATCTCTTACTAGTTAGTTGGCATCTACGAAGTCCTCAAGGATGAGGAAAGAAGACAAAGGTGGGGTGTTCTCATGATTAGCTTGTGGACTTTTTTTAAATTTTTTTAATTAATCCTAGACCAGCTGTTTTCAACCTTTTTGACTTGAAAGCATACCGTTGTCCAACACAATATTTGAAGATATTTCCTCTGATATTTCTGCTGTAATTTTCACATAATTTAAGATTCAAGTTTTTTTAAAAACCTTAAAAAAATTGTTATTGGGATTTGTTGTATTATTATTATTATCATTATTTATAATTTTAAGGTTAGTTTTTCAATACAAGTAATTTGAAGTCATCCTGTGGCATCCTTGAATGTTGCTGAGGCCTCCTGGTTAAGCACCACTATCCTAGTATAGCAGTGAAACGTGCTCCGAGAGGTTCTTAAATAGGGATGAAATAGGAGCTTTAATAATTTATTGACATTATGCCATTGAGTAAGATCCCTAACCACTGTTTGTACCAGTGGGGTACAGACTAGGGTCTATGAACTGTCTATTACAATTGCTAAAGTCTTTCAACAATAGTTTCTTACTACATTCACAGATATGATGACATCCTGGTTAATGGGCTGCCAGACTGGAGGCAGCCTGTCTTCTACTATCGACGCGTTAGGAAGTTGAGTAATGGAGAGTTGGGCTTCCTCCTCTTCCTCATTCTGACAGTGGGTCACTACGCAGTTATATGGTCCATCTACCTTGAGAAGCAGTTGGTAAGTGTTGAATTGTTGTATAGCACAGTTGTTGTCTTGTAATGCCAGCCTCTGTATAGTCCCACCTAGCCAGACCTTCAGACTGACGGCAGAAGGTCTGGATCCCATAGAAACCTTCACTGGCCAAGAGGACATCTGACCAACAAGTAGCGCAGCCACAGTTTGTATGGTTTAGCTGCGATGTCCCTACAATAACAGACTGGCATGCAAATCATTCAAGAACTTTGTGTAGGTTTACTGCAACAACGGTGCTGCGAATTCCCCATCATTTTTAAAGTCCAGCATTTAGTTGATCCTGATGAGCGCTCCTTGTCAAAGTTATAAACATGACAGCTTTCTTCTTCCATAAGGGGGTTTGGCATCACAACAGCTTTGTTTCCAGCCAGACTGTTAAAGAACACGACACATGTCTCCTGGAAATCCTGTAGAATTCAACTAATTAGATGACGACTTTGAAAATCCCAAAGTGTTTCCCATTTTGTGTGCCATATGCATTAGACGTTCAGCCAGCGGTCCATGGGGGTGACGTCTGAGGCTGAGACTAGCTTCTGTAATACTAAATGTACTTTCCCAGTGATAATTGCTATGTCTTAATTCTTCCCAGGATGAACTTCTGAGCAGGAAGAAGAGAGAGAAGAAAAAGAAGCAAAGCAGTAAGATGACAGATGAGATTAAGTCCTTGGCACAGGACAAAAATGAGAGGTAATCTAATAACCAGGGTTTCTGTCGGACTTCGTCTAAATTTACCCTTTCATAAATTAAGGCCTTAAAATAGAGAAATATATTCTTTTTTTTTTTTTTTGCATGCACTGCTAAAAAATAAATATCTTTCTCTGTGTTTACTTATTTTCCAATACAAATATATAGATATCCTTAAGTCAATAGGTGTTTACTTGAGATGCAAAATAAAGATATGAAAACCAGTTTTCTCTTGAAATGAAATTGTTTAATGATAAACTCACTTCATTTTAATACATTTCTCAGAAAACACAACTACTTATCTGATGTAATTTTACTTGTCCAGTAAGTGTATCTTGATTTAAGAATCTTTTGTACTGGAAAAACCAGACAATCATGTTATTGTGATTGAGTTGTGACTATGTGATACTCAATAATACGTGCTGCTAGTGCTGACTGATTTTGCTCTGCAGAAGAAAAACGGCCCAAGGTGAAGAAACCTAAAGTGGAGTTTCCAGTCTATGAACCCAGTACAAATGCAGCTTTTGTGCCAGTGTATGATCAGGGAACGTCTATTGAAGATATTGAGGATCAAATGGATTACTGGTTAGAAGACAAAAAACAGCAGAAGACGAAAGTAGGTTTTTGTCTCTGTTCAAAGGACCTTGATTTAAACTGAAAGTATTGCATTAACCAATGGCTGGTGATGATCGTAGACTCAAGAGTGGACGGAGGAGGATCTCAGCCAGCTTTCCCGCTGCATGGCCAAGTTTCCTGGTGGAACGCCGGGGCGGTGGGAGAAGATTGCTCACGAATTAGGCAGATCAGTGACTGAGGTAAATCTGTAATTAGTTCAGTTATGTCTAGTGCTCGACCCATAGCAGCTATAATGCTGATGAATATATCAAACTTATGTAATGATGGAAATTGCATGATTTAATTTATAAAGTATTACTTTTTTCATATTTAATCATATATACATATAAAACCAATCAAAATTTTGGGTTCTGAAATTAATACTTTTAATCAGCAAGAGCACATTAAATTGATCAAAAGTGACAAGTGATTTATAATGTTAATAAGATTTTTATTTAACATACATGCTGTTCTTTTGAACTTTCTCTTCATCAAAGAATCCTGAAAAATAGGTATCACGGATTCCACAAAACCTAAGCAGCACAATTGACCTATCAGTAAGCCCCTCCCCTTGAACGCAGATGAGCCAATGGCAGTTAAGCATCAGTTGGACATCTTTAGATTCCAGCGCCATAGAGAAACATTGGAAGATCCGAAGCTCCCATCGGTTTGATGGTGTTTTTGCTACAAAAATGGTAAAACGAAGTGCCTGGGGTACTTGTAACACTCATTCCAGGTATGCAGACTGTGATGATGGTGCCATTTCTGTGGCAGACTAGTGCATGATTGTACATCTGTGGTACACAGCAGGTTCACATGGTGGATTAATCCAGTGATGTGGGCACAGTAACCTGGTTCCCTAAGGATTCTACCCCAATCCCAATGAAGATGAAAATTTTCATTTTCTGGTTGTCATACTCTCATTACGTTACAATTAAAGGTAGTGAGTCCATGCTAACGTACAAACCTAAATAGCTAACTGTTCTCAAGTCATGTACAGTGTACATAAATGAAGGTCTACATTTCAGTGCCTCTCCATATTAAACTGGTTAAATGTAAATGAATTTAATCTTACCCTGCGGTACATGAACAGTGTTGATCCTAGATGTTGTCATCTGCGATCGTGACGACCGTAACATGAGGCTTCTCCCACTTACGTTGATCTGTAAACCCTCATTTCCAAATTAATCTTGTTACCCACCAGATTTATTTAAAAATCTTTTATGTATCCCTCCATGCCATATTTAAGTCCCTCTTGAATGCTCCTCGACGAGAGATGGTCCTTCTGTGTGCAAAATTGATCAAAAACATCTTGGGACAACGTTTTCACACCGACAGCTGTCATTGTAAGACAGTTAGCAACTCCATTTGTTTGTCCGAGTCAGCAACAGTAACTAAGGGGGGACGGGACTTACCGATGGGTCAATTGTTTTCAACATTGTCAATAAGCAAATCAGCAAATTAGAATGATTTCTGAAGGATCACGTCACTGAAGACTGAAGAAAATTCAGTCTGCAGAAAATTCAGCTTTGCCATCAGGAATAAATTATGTTGTAAAATATATTAAAAAGAAAAGTCATTTTAAACGGTAATACTTGTGAATTGTAATATTGTAATATTACTGCTTTTGCTGTATTTTTTTATTATTAAATAAATGCAGGCTTGGTGAGAATAAGAGACTTGAAAAAACGTGTTTAAAAAAATGTAGTAGGTAGATGTGTGTTAACCACTAATCAAAAATGGTTTTGGTATAAACCTTTTTTTTCCTACACAGGTGACAACAAAGGTAAAGCAAGTCAAAGACTGTGTCACCAATACATCAGGTAAGCTGTTTGATTCATTCAAATATTTTGAATAAAATTTCACCGACCATGTACGATTTTCCCCTACTGAGATATACTAAGCATGTCTGTCAGAACACTTATGTCTATCTCTTCTCTGTCTCTATTTCTAGGGTTGGTGAAGCTTTCTGAGCTGAAGGGTGGTGCAGTGATGGGAAAGAGTTCCAGAGACGTCACAGTGCCAGACAGTCTGATGACCCAGCGAGAGGAGCACTTAGAGCAGCAGCTAGAGGATTCAGCAGAGCCTGCTGGGGCAGAGGACTCTGAGAGCAAAGCGCTCAGAAGACGGACAAAAAATTCTGCGGCCGGGAGCGCTGGAACCGGAGAAGCGGAGGAGAGGCTGAAAGGACGCAGACAAAGAGACTTCGACCCCACAGCTGTAGATGACGACAGTGAAGATGAGAAGAAACCATCAGCCTCCAAAGAAAAACCCAGTGCTGCTGAAGATGTCTGGACACAGAACCAGCAGAAGCTCTTGGAGCTGGCCTTACAGCAATTCCCACGTGGCACCACTGAACGCTGGGACAAGATTGCTAAGGTGGTACCTGGAAAAACCAAGGTGAGCATCAACTTTCTCACCCACAGTCGTTGGAAAATTTATTTGAACTGACAATATAGCTGCATATAAAAGCTGGATTTCATGTTAGTTAATGAGTTGATTCTCTTTAACTTATTTAGGAGGAGTGCATGTCCCGTTATAAACTGCTGGCGGAGCTGATTCAGAAACGGAAGCAGGCCAAGAGCTGACTCCTGGTCTTCAGTATTTCACCGTACCTCTCACCTGCTTGTTATGTGCCTTAATGCAACCCTACGTCCTTTTGTCAGACTTTGTGCCACGTTCACCAGAGCCTGAATCGTCAGCGTTTAATCATTGGAGAGATCCCAACCGCACATTTAAATATGGTTTTATTTATTTTAAAATCTGTTTCAGATTGTAGACTTGATTTTGATTTTTTTGTTTCTCTATGCAACCAGACAGTCTGAGAAATGCAGAAGGCACATTTTAATGTTTTTTTCCCCAATTCTGAAACATTGTTTTTCAGAAGCACAGTGTGTTGTGCTGTCATATGTTATAACATAAAGTTATTTGCATACAACATGTAATGTGTGTCAGTTTCTCTTGTGGTCATTACTGTGCTTCAGCACATACAGTATTGGCTCATACATTTTTAAGAACATGACACTGTCATCCTCATATGTTCCATTCTGTAGATTTAGATTAAACCAAGTGATTTTCAAAGATGTTTACACAATGTTGTGCTTCCTGTATGCAGTAAAACAATTTTGATATGCATTTTTAGTTCTTGGTATAGGTGCAATTTTTCGAGATTTTCTTTTGAAAGGATTACTTTCAAAAGAAAGTACTTATTTTTAAGAGTAAAGTTTATTACTCTTATTATCAACATACACCAAATGACATTTGATGGTTTTGAATCTGACTTTCTCAAACAACTACAGATAAGTGGAATTACTTTGTCTATAATGTAAACTGATAAAAGTATTTAAGTTTCACCAAATTTCAAGTTCATTTTATTTGCAGCAGCATTCTAAATATACCTACTTCTAAGGGCTATTTCCATAATGCATTGTTTCAGAGTCTAAGGTTTAAGTGGAGTAGGAAGATGAGGCCAGAGAATGGAATAAAAACTGACCCCCATTACGAAAGGGAAAGAGGTACATGCTTTAATTAGTATATTAGTTATTCGTTCTTATATTAGTTTTCAGAGGTTTTTAAATCAACTCTAAAATTGTCAAATATTGCTATTAAAAACGCAATTTCAATAGTTGCATTTTCATGTTATTTCCTGTGTCAGTGATAATAACATGTAGAGTTTGTTGTTTTTTTTAAACACTTTCCAGCCTGTTGAGGACAGTTTGATTTATCAGGACACAATATGAAAAGAAGTGTGACTGTGAGAGGAAATGCAGCTACTTCACACCAGCCATTAATTGTTTTGCTTTGTTGGCACAGGTTTACCAACCTGACAGGACAGATTTTCAACTCCGTTCAAACGTCTTAATGTCACAAACACATGGCTTCCATTCACACAGCTATATATGGTATTGGTCTATAACTGATTTAAGACCTGAGTGTTGATGTCTCATTAATGGAAGTTTCATATTTTGTAAAATTAAATGCTTACTTTAATGTGGTGATAATCTACAGGGAACTACATGGAATACTTAGAACAAATGAAGTAAACAGGAGAAAGAGGGGCATTTAAATCAATAAAACATGGTCTTATTCATGATTTTTAATCTACTTAAGATGTTCCAGTGTGCTGTTCACCTTGGAATCATGGTCCAAAGCCTATAGGAAAATATCGTCAATGTCTTTAACCCTATAAAGCCTACTGTATCATATTTGATACGTTCATTTCTAATGCCTCTAAACTTTGCTGGGGGGGAAAAAGCTACTCAATACAACATTCTGCCCTGTGACTGAGTTTTTAGCAAGTAAAAAACATTTAACTAATTCTAAAAACACCCCCTCCTGGTCATAATACATAGGCTATATCTTTTTGTTGTGAAATATTTACTTATTATAAAATAAACGTAAGATTAACTACAAACCCGATTCCAAAAAAGAGTTATAATAAAGATGTCATTGACTTACATTACAATCAGAATTTCATCTTACTTTTTGGCCATATAACAACAACTGAACCAAATTATTTCTATTTGGGCCTCTGAATATGTACTAGATGTGTTTTATTTAGCCATAAAAGCCTGATGTATAAAGTACGATACATAATCTACAACTCTCTGCCCCCCCCCCTCCCTTTTTTCTGACTATGATTTTAGCTTTACAGGGTTAAAAAAGATTAGTGTTTAACCTGTTAGACATCCATTAAGCAAGGATTAGATCAGATCCTTTTTTATAAAGAACAATAGGCTACTTGGAAAGAACACGAATTTCCAACCAAATATCCCTTCAATCAATGCACTTTAAAATAGTAGCTTTGGAGTAAAGAACTTACTGAACAATTTTTATTGTTGAATTCATTAATGTTCTAAACCTTACTTTTCAGTTCAGATTATACAAACTTGCGCTGAAAAGCGGAACATTCAAATCAATAAAGCATTATGTTTATATTACTAACACCCAATGGATTTGGCTCCGTGTCTGATCGGTGGCGTCGGTTACTGGCATAGAATATTAATAAAGGAACAAATGAGAACAACATCTTCTTCTTCTTTATCTTTAACTCGTTAAGACTTCTACTCTCTTTTCGTTCCTCTCATGTGATATTTTAGTAAAATTTCGTCGAGACAAACGCTGCTGGTCGTGTTGTTGTCCAGCAGATGGCTCTCTTCTCTTAATCTTACACAACAGAGCATAAGGTAAACAAGCTGGAAGACGCCACCTCTCTCAATTTTTTCTGAGGAAATAAAGTTATTAAAAAGTGTATAATTCAGACGAAAGGAAGGGCAGTATTACTCACGCTGAAATATTGCGTTTTTAAGTTTTATTAACACACACTGTAATAGCGACTCTAGCTAACTTTGCTAATTCTACGTGGCAATCGCAATATCAACAATACAAAAATCACTATAGCTGATAAAAACGAAAAAAAAAAACAGTTTTACTTCTTAGACAAAAACAAAAACATCACAAGATCCTGCGTATTTTTGCTCAATGTCCTTTCTCAATTTGCTTGCATTGCTGCTTTGATTATCAACGCGCTCGCGGGACCAGGAAAAGGTACGTTAATGTATATAAGATATAATTAGTCACAACTAATTTCACGTTGGCTTTTAAGGTACATTTCAGCGCAGCACTGGAAATATTTCAGACAGAGATCACTCCTGCTGGATGGACTTTTTCGATATGGGGTGTCATCTATTCCTAGCTCTTCCTGATGAACGCATATCCTGACCTGGCTCTGTAGAGGGTATTTCAAACCTCATATCAACACTTTGCTTATTCACACTGTTTGAAAGCCATTTATTATAGTTTGACAGTCTTCGCTTGAATTATCAGGTTGTACTCAAGTCCAGCAATCCTGCCCTCTGAATTCTTTCTCTCATGGATCATCAACACGATTCTGAACAGTACCTGGCTGGTCTTGTGGGATAGAGAGTTGTAGGCAGCCAACATATTTTGAGGCACAATCATAGGTTTGCATGGTGCTTTGCCTGTGGTTTCATGTAATGTCTGTAGGTCACATATTTGTTTTTTATTGATTCAGATTGATGATTCCTGCACTGATTGTTCTTGCCCTGATTGCTTTCACCAACTACCTGATGATCTTCTTCTCTTGTATTGGTCTACAAGCTCATGGATCTTGGCTTAAACCGCAGCACCCAAAAGACCTTTTCTGCATCATAGTGTTGGTATGCATTGAACATCATTTTGGAATCGCTTTGACAAGAGGCAGAGTACTCATATTTATTTATTTAAAATAAAATGAACTTGAACATGAACACTGTCTCATATGTAATGTATTTAAATACAGTATCAACCCAAACAAAAGACAGCAGGTAAATTAGGTGCACTACAGATTTGAAATGTTTGAAATAACCATGCCATATATGTACCTTAGGTTCAAAATGGCATTGCTACCTATGCAGCATGGACAACCATTGCCACACTGCTCAACTTCACTATTGTGTTGGATCTAGCATCAGTTTCCCCAACAAATGCTGCTACAGCTTCTTTATGCATACTTCTGTTGGAAGTAATTATATGGTAATCATAATCATTTATTTTCTGCTATAATCTTGTGATATGGCTCAATGACTTTATATCCAAAAATACAGTTTATACATAAAGTGATATAAGTACACATCTTCTATTATGAGCATGTTTTTATTAAGTTTAAAATATTGAATAGATTTTAGGGGAGGCATAAAGTCAAAAATGTCAGGTGATACAACTGATATATTAATGAAGACTAAAATAATGAAGATTAAAAATTAAATTCTTGACAAGAAATTAAGGAGTTTGGCATTTTGGCTTTTATTATTATTTCTAAGAAAACAAAACCTATAAAGAAAATGCAGGAAATGAGGTCATGTCCATGTGTTAAGGTCAAGAAGAATCTCATAAAAGATCAAATAATTTGAACATTTTATGACAAGGCAAGCAAAACTTTGCATGCGTTTTAAACTACATTTTTAAATCTTTTAAACTAAATCATTTTTAATTTTCTTTCATTTGTGATCGACTCATATTTAAGATATGATTAAAGGCATTAGATCAGCACACTGTGTCTAATCAAAGGTTTTTTTGTTTCTTTGCGTGTTCTTCTACAGGTTTACAGTTGAAAACTTTCTAATAGAGAAGCATGTCCGTTACATCCTCACCGTTTACCCTGTGATTATCTATGCTCTAATTGGAAGCCTAAGCAAGCATTACGACGCAGCAGCACCTGGCCGGAATGCCATCTTTTCAGGTTAGTCGATGATAAACACACCCATGTCTTTTTGGTTAACCATAAATATAGCATCATTAAATCACAAACTCATAAAACCATAAGGCCCCACATAAAGATGTTACATATTAAGGCTACATTGTGCTCACATTGCTTACAGTATCATGGTTTTATTTTCCATAGTGGTGCTCCTCGTGTTGGCCTGTATTGTGTTAGTGGTGTGCGTGGGGCTGGTGGTTTGGAGACACAGGACTCGGCCTCTCTACCGTGAAGTCAGTCCTGAGATCCTGATGTCACCAAACAGCGGCACTGATAAATAAACATACATCATAAACACTCAACACTCATAAAAACTTCAAAGATGACGTGACCTGAACGGTAACCCTTCCAGGTGTGCAGTACCTGCATGAATGCGTTTCAGCTGGAACAGATGCTTTCAGAGTCTTCAGTTTTATGGAAAATATGCATGAAACAGCATACGGTAGCAATATTAAATCTATTCTGAGCTTGAGCCAGGCCATGTCTAAGAGATTAATTGTGCCTACACTACCATTTTTAGGTGAAATACGTCTCAGAAAGTCTGCATTTATTTGATCAAAAGAACAGTAAAAACAGTAATATTGTGAAACACTATTACACTTTCAAATAACAGCTTTTTATTTTAAAATATTTTATAATGTAATTGTGTTTATATGCATATGTATACAGTAACTTGTGACCAAAATATCAATATTATACTGGGCAGTATTATCACTTGCTTTTATTTATATATTTGTATTAACGTTTAATATTTTAGTATAAGCTTTAATCCAAAGCAAAATACAAAATATGGAAACAGTTTCTTACAGTATCACAAACAATATATCATACAAGAGCCAACAATACTTGCAATACAATGTTTCAAGGGTAAGTACATACAAAAAAAGTTTGTGTTTGTGATTCGTTCAAAATAACTACAAAATGTCATGCCTTTGAAAAATAAAGAGAAAACCGAATGCGCTGCTTTAGCTCATCTCGGTCTGCTTGAGCATCTTTCCGGCGCATGCCACAAATAAAATGGGTTATTAATCTGTACAACTGCAGCAGTGGAGGACTATTATTCTGATGCGTGATACTGCGGAAGAACTGATGACGGCACGGTTTGATCTTCGGCTGACCAATCAGCAGAAAGGGGCGTTTAATTCCTGCCCACATGTAGAAATCGAATATTCAAGCTGTTTATTAATTTTTCCACCCATGAACGAAAAACGAAAATTTAAGCTAGATTCTCGTTTTTTGGAAAAAAACGAAAAACGAAAAAGGAGCCATTTTCTCATTTTTCTACTTTTTTAAATCAAAAAACGAATGACCGAATGATATACGGATTCTACTGATATAGACTTTTTTTATAATCATATGATACTATTTTAAAGAATTATTTGGTGTAACAGAATATGTTGACATGCTTTAATGTTCAAAAAACACATTTTTCAAATACTGTACATTATTGTAGGTCCTCTATGCCCCGCCTCTCTCAAACGCTTCGTTTTCAACTAAGCCCCCTCCTTTGACAAGCGCAGTCTGCTCTGATTGGCCAGCTGACCCAGTGCATTGTGATTGGCCAAACACCACAAACATGCGTCGGAAATGTAACGCCCCTTACCATAATAGCAACCTTCAAGCTTTCAAAGTAAATATCAAGATAATAATGTCGTTAGTTTTACCATCATTTCAAGCCTGAAAAGGCAACAGAGTCGCGTGACACAGTGATGATGCAGTACACAAGCCGCGGTTAAGACAGCTGACGTGCTATGATTTCTGACAGGCAGTTCACGCTCCTGTGATGTGACCCTGTTCCCCTCACTCACACACACACACACACACGACACGTTACTCTGCGCTGTG